GGGGTGTAAGGAAGGCTGTAAAAGAAAAAACCCTTCAAAGGATAGGGAAGCAGCCTTGTGCACCACGATGTCCTAAAGGAGGAGGGGAAAGGGTATCAGTAATAATCTTAACGACATGCAAACAGTAGAAGCGACCATGTTATTGTCAACAAACCTGTACATTTCTTCGTCTTTGGGTCATATGTGAATCCACGGTTACATGTACAGCGGTAACTACCCGGAGTGTTAACGCAAGTGGCTTCAGCACCGCAAAGATTTGGTGTCATCATACACTCATCCTTGTCTGAATGAAGAAATTACATTATTTAAGAGCATCTCGACAAATGGTTTATCATCGACAACCATCACATAGGATGCAAACAGTGTTAGTCTGGCAACCCAATTTTTTTCTATTTGGTCCACTTGTTTACTTTTGAAAAAGACRKTTGYTATGTTSAAAATGAAGGAATGCGGTCTTACCTACACATGTCGCTCCGTTTTTAATGTAACCAATGGGACAATCGCATCTGAAGCTGCCTTCTGTGTTGATGCAGCGATACTGACAGTTGTGGACACCAGATTTACATTCGTCTACATCTGTAAATAAAAATATAAATACAATACATGATCAATCGATCAATCAAACAAATCAATGAGTCAGTCAGTCAGTCAGTCAGTCAGTCTATAAGCAAGTTAGTCTGTGTTAGTTAATCAGCATCCTCGGGAACCCAGTGGTAATCTTCTGTCGTTCGTTCCTCACTCCCAGAAAAAATACCCCTGGGCACGAAGTCTGTTAGACCTTGTTCTCGATTCGAAATTCAAAATAGCGGCCGGTAAATGTCCGATTGGTCGAGTGATTCACTCGAACATTCTGATTGGTCGATTAACTTACTGGCCGCTATTTTGAATTTCGAATCGAGAACAAGGTCTATATAACAAGGTCTATATAATAGACTTAGTGCCCAGGAGTATTTTTTTCTGGGAGTGAGGAACGAACGACAGAAGATAACCCCTGGGTTCCTGAGGATGGTTAATCAGTCACAGTCAGTCAGTATGAGTCAGTCCGTCTCAATGCGAGTCTTCGGCTAGTCATCAGTACCTTCACAAGTTTTCTTGTCATCTCCAAGTCGGAATCCAGCAGGACAAGTACACTCAAACGACCCCACAGTGTTTTTACATGTCCCCACACTACAAACATTCTTAGATCGTTGACACTCGTCTTCATCTGTTAGAAAAAGAATACTGTAAAAATAGTTCATATTGTCATCGATAGTGGCAAAGCCTAACCCTGTATTTCTCGTATCTGCTTATTATTAAGACAAAATTTCTGTACAAAGAAACAATGCACTTTCTAAAAGCTTTTATTTAAGGGTACGTTTGCTTTGGGAGTTCATCGTTGTATGCAATTCACCCATCAAAAGCTATCAGTACTGTCGTTTCCACCGAGATGTTAGATGATGTTTTGGTTTTATTTTCTGAAGTGTATATGCGTGAATATTATCCATCTAAATCGAATATCTATTATTATTTGCTTTTTTGGTTCGAGCAGTCTCAAGTCTCACAACTAACGTCCTTTGAAACAAAAATGTTTAGTTTTTAAGCCTTACCGTTGCATCGCTTGCCATCACTTGACAATTTGAAACCATCATTGCACATGCATCGGTAGCTACGAGTGAGGCTGATACATTTGCCATTTTTACACAGACCAGGTACCATCTCACATACATTGTCTATTACTGGGAAAAGACAATTGAAGAACTGATTAATTAGGGAAATAAAAAAAGCCAATAAAAAAAGGGATAAACAACTTGAGCAAGAAAAGAAAGATGCTTGCAAAAAAAATCAGCAAGCAAAGTAAACAAACAAGCAAGGAATTAAGTTTATATAAGCAAACAAAACAACAACAAAAATGAATTTCAAGGGGTTGTTAAAAGGTCTGTCTTTGTCGGGATTAACAACAACGCATGCAGCAGACAACAGCAAAGCAAATAAATGCCAGATGTCATTATTACATTATCTACCGGTCTTCGTTTGGAAACAACAACAACAACAACATCCAGCAAAACAAGTATTAATGTAACGAGAGTTGGTAAACTTCTCAGCCATGACCAACACCCTTTTTTCGGAAACAACAGCGACAACATAGATTTTACCTTTTCCTGAATCAACACATAAGTACAGGTTTTCTCCTGTTGTAATAAAACAAACATTAGACTCCAGGAAAAAATAACTGGGCATATACCGACAAAGAATGAACTTATATTTGACTTTTGTCATTATATTGTTTTGTTTTCCCGTTTGAATCAAGCTCAAACACAGACAGACAGACAAAAGGACAGAGAAAGTACATGCAAGTCCTTACTAGATCCTTTGGCAGGGCATTCTTCACAGTTTGTACCCCAGGCCTTCCCGGCAGTACAGCAGCAATCGCGTTTAGTAACCTTCATCATCTGTTTGGTCACAGCTTCGCATATTCCGTTGTTGACGTTAAGGAAGCAAAATCCTTTACGGGTATCTAGAAATAACGTACGTTTCCGTTAGATTCTCGCGTAACCTCACTTAATTTCTGTATTTGTAGTTTTTATAAAACGTCGATTCATTATTAAGGCGAGCACAATATCGGATATCACATAATACATAAGAATTATTGGTTAAATGTAAGAATAGACCGAATCCACAGCGTTTCTGTAAGTGTTTTACGTAGTAGTAAGCTACGTATCCACACAATTATTACCTAAACACCGTTTCCCATCCGTTGAGCGTTTGAAGCCACTGTTGCAATCACAAACGTAACTGCCACCGGTGTTACGGCAAACACCGTTACGGCAAAGCCCTGGCGTTTCAATACACTCGTCAACGTCTGTGAGGAGAAACACAGTTAAACTACATATTAACGCAAAATATGAGCAACAAACAAATAAAATACATGATTTATCAACCAAATCTTAGTAACTTGCACTGAATTGGCATGGGTCATGTGGGGTTCGGCGTTTGGAACGCTACGGGCTTTACCTATCTTTTCGTAAGTAGACATTCATATACATACACTTACGCAGCTGTCTGTGTACGGCTTGATACGTACCCAGCTTTGCTTCAGGGACCTCTTTTTTCGTACAGTTCGTTACCTATACCTTTAATTCACGTAGCTGTTTTTCTACTTACAGTTTGAAACGTACTTCTAATTCGCGCAGCTGTCTGTACGTGCTGTTTAATACGTACCCAGCTTTGCTTCAGGGACCTCTTTTTTCGTACAGTTCGTTACCTATATTACCGACTTTAATTCACGTTGCTGCCTTTACGTACAGTTTGATACGTACCTTTACATCTCGTTCTACCATCTCCAACAAAGCCTGGCGGACAAACGCACTTGTAGCCACCAACAAAGTTCTTGCACATATATGGACACAGTCTTGGGTTACGTTTGCATTCATTCACGTCTAGAAAAGAACGTAAGATTTTACGTAATACGCTCTAGATCAAAAATCACGTGCAAGCAAAAGCTTGGAAACGTGTGTACGTACCTCTGCAGTGCTTCCCGTTACTCGTCAAAGCAAAGCCACGTGGACAGACACATTTGTAAGTTCCTGGTGTATTGATACATCGATAAGCACACAATGTGTTGTCGTTCCTACACTCGTCCACATCTAGTAATAGATGAAAATAGTAAATAAATATGAATAAAAGAGAAATGACCCAATATGCGAACTAAATGATGTATAATGTACAAGCAAACAGGAAATTATAATTAATGACTTAAACACCGATAAAAAATCAATCAAATAATCAATAAATAAATCAATCAAATAATCAGAGTCTAAACATTGAATAAATCAACAATCAATCAATCTATCATTCAGTGCATCAATCGATTAAATAATTCATTAAATCGATCATCAAACAATGAATAAATCAACAATCAACCATTCAATCAATCAATTAATCTATAAATCAGTCCACCAATCGATGAATTAATTAATCAAATCGATCACCAATCAATCAATCAACTAAGACTTCGTTCGTACCGACACATTTAGGAGAATGTCGACTCGAAGCGTATCCTGCCGGGCAGATGCACTCGTACGATCCTTTAGTGTTGGTACAGTTGCCATTACCACAAGGGTTGATCTTCTCTGTACACTCATTGATATCTTAACAAAAAAACAAATGGAAATATTGTAAAGTCACCTCATTTTCAATGTATGAAATATATAAAACACGACCGCACTGAATGCTGGTGGACCATGTCCCTTATAAAACAACTTTTAAGTTTAAAAACCAGTAACATCACTGACCTATGCATTTGTGTTTCGTCGAGTCCAACTTGAATCCCATTTTACACTTGCACCTAAAGCTGCCATCGTTGTTGATACAAACGCCATTTTCGCATACGTCCTTCATCATGTCACACTCGTTCACGTCTGCGAAAAGACACTCATCCAATCAGCATTACATGCAATAAAGATCACGGAAATAGGAGCAAGGCTACCATCCAATAATTTACGATGTCGTTTTGAAAACAATCCAATAATTATTAATATTATTAATATCGTTCTTTCTTATAACCGTATAATCATTAATGGTATATCTCATTCCTGACGGAATGCTAACGATCGCGATGTAAATATACAATAATTTATGATATCATGTCAAACTCCATCCAATAATTGTTTTTATACAACTTTTCAGTAAAATCAGACGTTTTGATTGGTTGGCTTTCGTGTGTTATCAAAGTATAGATACACGGATTACGTCAAAACTAATTTTTTGTTGTATAAAACAGATAGATCTCATTTTTCCGTGCGTGTGTACTCTAATAGATACACAGATGACGTCAAAATGTAGTGARAACAACAGTCACGCAYTCGACTGCGTCTCGTGCGTACTTTTTTGTTCTYACTACATTTTGACGTCATCTGTGTATCTATTAGAGCACACACGCACGGAAAAATGAGATCTATTTGTTAAATAGACGCCAATATATTTTGTATTTACCTTTATAATTCGCTGTATCATTTGTTCCGAAGCCCCATCCTTTTGTGCACACAATACTGAAATCACCTACAACGAAAAAAAAAACAACAAACATTAAGAAACCTTTAAGTCCTTTTCAATCTACTTGACTGACTAGCTTCGGGCTGTTCCTTTTTGCATGAGTGTTACCACCCTCTATAAGGCGACAACAATAAAAAGTTAGTCCAAATCACACTGTATTTGACCTCTATTAAGCGGGCAACCTCTGTTAAGGCGACAACAATAAAAAGTCCAAATCACACTGTATTTGACCTCTATTCAGCGGGCAACCTCTGTTAAACGACCACTTTGGCCGTGGGTGACCGCTATATAAAGGTACCACAACTGATATAAAGTCCAAATGACACTGTATTCAACCTCTATTCAAAAGGTAACCTCAGTTAAACCACCACTTTGGCCGTGGGTGGCAGCTATATAAAGGTGGTAATGGACTTCCCTCTACTTACTAGAATCCGGTTGGGGACACAATTCGCATGGGTCTCCCCAGCCTTGTCCTTTGGTACAGCAACATGCAGACTTAGTTACCAGCGTATCACGTGGTTTTGTACAGCCGTTTTCATCGACGGTGTTAAAGCAAAAGTTTTTGCGAATATCTAGGAAAAAGACAATATACAAAAGTGAACGAAATAATTAGCTTTTCATTTACGTGCGTAAACGTCTTACCTGCGCAAGAGGTTCCGTCATCACTCTGGACGTACCCTTTATCGCAAATACATCGATAGCTTCCTTGCGTGTTGGCGCATCTGCCTCCAGGTTCGCAGTAATTCGGATTTGCATCGCATTCATTCAAGTCTTCAACGCAGAACAAGAACATTAGTGTAGCGTTTACGTTTGTCTTACGTAAGGAGTGCACGTGAGAAAACATACTACTGTTTTACTTAAGAACCGAAATAACATAAAATAGCATTCATTCAAGTCTTCAACCCAGAACAAGGAACGTCCTTGAATCATTTGAACGTTTACGTATGTCTTACGTAAGGTGTGTAATTAAGAAAACACACTACTGATTTACGTAACATCTGGCATAATATCTCTTACCGATACATGCTGTTCCGTCAGGGCTAAGTCGATATCCTGCTACGCATTCGCACCTTGCGCCCCCGATAGTATTGGTACAGCGTCCATTCTTACAATAGTTTGGTATTTCCGTGCACTCGTTGACATCTGAAAAACCAAGACAGTTTGTTGAAGTGCAGGAATAATTTGTAACGATCAAACAAAGAAAATCAAAACTGTGACTCAAAAACATTCAAACAACTCTGTAAGATCTAATCCTCAAAAGGTCCGGCGAGAGGTACGAGATACAAAAAAAACCCTGAACAAGTCGCACAAAGTTGTTGCTGTTTTAGAGTCGATATTTCTCGTTTTACATCTTGCCTCAGCACTGGTAACTTGTTGCGCAAAGAAAAACAGGCCATGAGTTCTTTTATTGTATCTCGTATTCCTCGGTCTTTTAAAATTAAAATTAAAAGACGTTTTTTAAATACTACAACTTGATAGAACTTAACAATATTTTATCGCATTTTCAGGTGACAACGCTCTTGAAACAGCAAAGTGTTACCAAGTTCGGAAAACGTTCTCGTGTTGAACAAGGTTACATCGTCAACAAATCGAAGATCAAAGACAAGCATTGAAAGGTACTATATGCATAAATTTATGTGTATGATAGTAATTCATAGAAGCCTGAACGCTGTCCGCATTGAATCATCATGGCGTCCCTATGAAAAATGCAGATTGCCTAACCAGGCGTCCCTGACCACAAGGAGAAGAAGGTCAGGCGATGCAACATAATATAAAATCTTCAACCTAAAATCCGCTTCGGTCTGAGCTTCGATAATTTCATCTCTTTAGAGACTGATCATGTCTTTTTAGTTTTAAAATGTGTTGTTACGTTGTTCATAAGTCGGTTATCAAGTGATGGTTAATGTATTTACCTCGACAATTTCGTCTGTTTGGTGTAAGAGTGTAACCAATGCTACACTTGCAGTTGAATGAACCCTCGGTATTGAAGCAAAGCCCATTTTGACAGATGCTTGAATCGGTTGCGCATTCATCGATATCTAACAAGTAAATAAAAAAAACACTTCAAAATCCAAAAAATCCAATGAAATCATGATGTAGGCCTTAAGGTGTTTCTTTGGGCTTCCTGTGTTGTGATGAAGATTTTCGGTTACCGAATAACAAAGCAACTACGTCCAATTTAAGTAACCACTCACCTCGACAGAATCCTCCTGCGTTCAGTTTAAACCCGTCGTAACATTGACATTGGTAAGATCCTTGCGTATTAATACACGACCCGTTACCGCAGATACCACGTCCAGCCACGCACTCATTGATGTCTAATGGACGCATAGAAAGACATTTACGTAAACAGAAATAAATACGTATACAAACGTAGCATGTAAACGCATAACTTCACTAGTGTAAACCAAAACACAATACCAATGACGGTAGAAGAGGTATAACGTGTTGCATATGCTTACGTACTGAATTCTTACGTTCGACGTGTAGGGTAACTCAGTGGGTTACAATGCACAGTATATTACGTATCAAAATTGTCATGACGTTAACAATGCGACACGTAACGTAGTGGTTACAACGTTGCGTGTTAGGCCTCACCCATATATTTCCGTTGTTTCGAAGAATGAAAAACAATTCAAAAACTAGTCGAAAATGCATCAAAGTGGTCGAAGTCTTATTATTAGCGACTAGATGAGACGCGTAACGAAACACGCAAAACGACAACGTTTACGTACGTACCTATACACGTTCTTTTATTAGGAGTCAGCTGAAAGCCTTCGTTACATTGGCAAATAAATGTGCCATCCATGTTCTTGCATTGGCCATTGTCACAATAACCCGGCGTTCCACACTCGTCCATGTCTGTTTATCACATTAAAAGAACAATCATTAATTTATTCATCAAAAACTAGATTAGCAATTAGGGATCCCGGAATTCAAAATGAGACTGGGAATTTGAAATGGGCAATTGCTCACATAAAGAAACCTTCTTACCTTCACAAATAAGCCCAGTGCTGTCAAGGTTGTAACCATTTGGACAAATACAGACAAAGCTACCAAAAGTGTTTTTACATCGTCCGTTTTTGCATGGATTTAGCTTACATTCGTCCACATCTGAAACATTGAAAAAAATGATTAAAAAAATGATTGTTTTCATCGCTGTCGCTCGATAAATTAAAAAAATATTATCTCTCCATCTCTTTGCATAAAACCAACAAAACAAACTTCGAAAAATTGCTCTAAACAGTATGGAAAAGTAACTCTCTGGTATAAAAGAGAGCAAAGATCGGAAATGCAAATCACTCCGGCTGCGTTTCACACGTGTCCGGATCTGCTCAATACCGCACAGTTTCCATGCTTTTTGTCTTACCACCGAGAGAACAATTTTATCCGTATATTTTTGAATAGTAAAACGGTAATCGCAACGGTAAACGTAGCGGTTAACGTAACGGTAATCGTTTTCGTGTAAACGCACAAAAGAATATACCGTTAAATACGTAAAAGCGCATTGAATTGGGCGTTTAGCAGCTTTGACGTTTCAAAGAGGCTGGAACCTCATTAAGGGAAAAAGCTATTGTAGATAAAGAAATCTTTGATATCGATTGTTAATAAAAATCACTAAGGATTATTGTTCTTACGCACCAACACACGCAATGCCCTTCTTGTCGACTCTGTATCCACGTGGACATTCACAGCGGAACCCAACGTACTGGTCGATACAGCGACCGTATAGACACAGCTCAGGGATAAGTTTACACTCATCGATAACTAGAACAGAAACAAAAATGTTATGTAGCATCATTATATCATCGAAAGAGCTATTTTAAATCTCAAAGTGCTTGATTAACATGACATAGTTCTAGAAAAGTCTGTATTAAAATTTCGTGAAAAGTAAAAAAGGACAAAAACAACAAAATAAGAAATAAAACTACACAAAAAATAGAAAATAATAAAGCAAACATTTCAATTAAATTGCGATTTCGATGTTTTCTTATACAAGTCCACATAAGAGACATTTATCATACGACCCGTATTTCGGCCCTACGCGCGCTCTTAAAAAAACCTTTGGGAAATGGTCACGTGATGGGGTCCGTACGCCTTTTCGCGACAGGGCCGTACAAACCCGTATCTTCCCGGCTTGAAGTTAGTCGATACATTCATCAAAGAAATGGCTTAAAAAACGCTGTCATAAGATAAAATGCTTATGGACTGTGTTAGGTCGGGCCGTACGGGAAAATATTTGGCTCTCGGTCATTTGTACGCTGTCATATGATAAAATGCTTATTGACTGAGTTAGGTCGGGCCGTACGGGAAAATATTTGGCTCTCGGTCATTTGTACGGACCTCGCTGCGCTCGATCCGTACGGTATAACCTCGAGCCAAATATTTTCCCGTATGGTCCTCCCACTCAGTCAATAAGTACAGGGGGGGGGTGTTAGGTGGTGGAGCCTGCCGTTTTGGGAAAGTCCTTCTTAAATACACATAGAAATACATATTTATATTCATAATTCAGGAAGACAGACAGACCACCACAAAATTTGCAGATGTCTTCCCATCCAAAGGACCCGTCCCTGTGATGTAGTAATCAATATTTTCCTTCTAAGATCAGAGCAATTTTTTTTCTTATCACGAGGGTCTTTGTAGACTAACGTTGGCCATAGTATAAGGTGTGCGATACAATCTATAAACCAAACAATACCTTTCACAAATCCTGGGGTTGTTGGCATAAAATCGTCGGTGGTCGGTGCTGCTGTTGTCGGTTTGACTTGACTATCGGTCGGAGTGCCGTCCGGTTCAAGAGTCAAAAATCCTGTAGTGTGGTCGAGAGCGATCGGTGTGGTCGGTGTATAAAACGGTGTTCTGTCTTTTATTTGAGTAATTGGTGGGATAACTCGACGACAAAGTACTGAATGAAGCGCTAGAAAATCAATGAACAATGATTATTGAATCCTTTGTATAAATATTAAAATCATTCCTTTATAACAATAACAACAAAAATAACGCTAATGCTAATGATAAAGATAATGCTAATGATTATGCTTATGATAATGATAAAGCTATTGCTAATGATAATTATAAAGCTAATGCTAATGATAATGCTAACGATTATGAAAATTGTAATAATAAAGCTAAGGCTAATGATAATGATAATGATAATGATAATGATAATGATAAAGCTAATTCTAATGATAATGACAAAGGTATTGCTAATGATAATTATAAAACTAATGTTAATGCTTATGATAATGCTAATGCTAATAATAGTTAAAACTTACGTGAATCCTCAGGCGGGCAGCGTCGGCATTCGTCTTTCTTCAAGTAGGCTTTACCAATAGTACAACAACATTCATGACGAGTAATGTTCACAGAGAAACTGTTTTTACACACTGGACTTGCACCAATTTGAACATCGTGGAAACACAGACTTTTGCCTCTATCTGTTTATATAATAGAAGTTATAGATAGTTTATTTCATCCATTATACAATATTTTGTACAAAACACGCGACATATGTTTCGCTTTTTGAGATGTAACGCACCTCCCTTTAAATTGTATCGTTTAGGGGCAAGAACCAGACATATCAGTTTTATATCCTTCGGTTATAGGACAAATACACGCTGAGCAGTATTTTTGGAGGGAAAGCAAATCAATTTTGCATTTCTTGCGAGTGATGTCATCCAACGATAACGATTTCTTACGTGTGAACTCTTTACGTATAAAATGCGGACTAGTGTAAGTTTGTTATCGAGTTTAATTAACTTACCAATACAAAGTTTGGTTTCTTGATCAAGTATTTGGTTTGGAGGGCAAATGCAGTTATGTCCTCCAGGAGTGTTGATACATTTGCCATCAACACCACAGATGTACGGGTATTCGCGACATTCATCGATATCTGAACGAGAAGAATGTTGGATTATCAAAGAATGAAATCACAAAAAAATTTAAACACAAGTAAATAACCAGATATACAACAACAAAAATAATAATAGCAACAACAATATCAATTACACTACAAAAGAAATAACAACAACAGCAATAACAAAAACAGCAGAGTAACAAGTAAATGACAAATAAAACAACAACAACAGCAACAACTCAATATCAATAACACAACAACAAAGATAGAAACATCAGCAATAACAAAGACAGGAGAGCATCAATAAGAACAAATACAACAGCAGCAGCAGCCGTAACAACAAAAACAACCACATTAAACTCAGGAACAACAGCAGCAGCATTGGCAACAACAACAACAATAACAACAAACCGACATTTTAGCAGGCTAAGCATCCAACAAACCAAAAAGAATTACCTCTTAAAAGATAAAATCAAATCAAATCAAATCAACAAATCACAATCAGGTTTCAAAATCAGGATGGTTCACTGAACTTTGTTTTCGTAAAAACTCTCGTTACTGACCTACACATCGACCTGTTTTGAGGTCATGTTTCTGTCCAGCGGGACAAATACAACTGAAGCTTCCCAGTGAGTTCAGGCAACGACCTTCGCTGCAGATACCAGGAAGTTCTTTGCATTCATCGACGTCTGTGGAGAAGAGCAAAACAATATGTCTTCATGATTAATATAGAGAGTTGACATTTTCACAATAATCTTTTAATAGTTTCCAGCACAATCTTGAAAGTTATCAAGACGAGCAGTTATCGTTGATGTTTCTCAAAACATCATAGTGCAACTATTTGTTTTTTGTAACATTCAGTTTCCGCGGGCAACTATCACAGCATATAATACCTCGATTCAGCCACTTAAAAAAAGAAAAAAAAAGATTTAGCCGCGTCAGAAAAATTGTGATTGAAAGTGAATGTTTCCTCCAAGCTTCCTAGTCGCACTTCAACTGCATTCTCCGGGAAACTATATATTTTTTTTGAATATATATCCAGTTTCCGCGGGCAGCTATCGTAGTATAATGCCCTCGATTCAACTACTCTATTGCTCAATTATTCTTAAATATTCCGTTTATGTAAAATTGATACATATATTTACATATGTCCGCATGCCCGTGAGATAAATTACACTACTCACCGACTATTACTGTTGTATTAGGGTTTGGTATAAAACCAGGTCCACCAGGGCAAATCCTCTTGTATTCAGCTGTAGATTGAAACAAAATGGTAAGAGAACTAACAATGCTGTTTAAAGTAATATATAAAATATGAGCGGGAGACCTTTATGGGCATTTAAAACTGTGAGCTGCAAGCGAGCAGTTTTAYAGCCCATRAAGGTCGGACGCGAATATTTTATATTGCTTATCAAATTCCAACATAAGGTAAAGCATATTTCGAAAAAAAAACTTTAGGATAAAATATCATTTGTAAGAGAAAAGTTAAAGTCGTATGCAAATCAGGACAAATCTCTTGCTCATATCAAGATGCGGTCACCGCAATGATTTTCCATTGTGTTTACCTTATGAATTATTAATGAATTTGATAATAAATGTTAATATTCCCAATAAATCACTACCTGTTCCTTGCTTTGGACAAAACGTGCAATCGTTCCAGGCCTTGCCGATGGTACAGCAACACACCCCTCGATAGACTTCATCAATGGGGTTTAGACAAGTATCGTTGCCACGCGTTCGTAGATAGCAGATTCCTTTGCGCATGTCTGGAATAGAGAGACAAATCAGAGATGAGGAATTGATTGAGGCCTGTTTCTCTTTACAATTATACGGATCAAAGGAGATACAAAAAATCCTATGATTTTATCAAAGAGAAGGCGACGTTTTGAGTTAAAGCACGTCTATGTCATTTTGTAGTGTTAAGGGAATCTCGAGATAAAAAATATAGCAAAATACAGCCTTTTGCAAAAATTATGAGAATTGTTGAAATATCTAAATATCATAATATCGAGTGCATGATGGGTAATCCCACGCAATGCCCTTAGTCCCTTGTCTTTGTAGTTTAGGGTTTTTTTTGGCGACAGACTTATCCGTAGTTCTGAACATTTTCTCGATGTCAACAATGAATTATTCTAGCAAACCCGCGTGTTCCGGACAATATATGGATATGGATATTATGATATTTAGATATTTAGACAATTCTCATAATTTTTGCAAAAGGCTGTATATGGCAAAATATAGCAATATACCGAAAATATAGCAACTGCTTACCAATACAACCCGTTCCATCGCGATTGGGTGAAAATCCCTCGTCACATTCACACTTGTATGATGACATCATGTTGACACATCTTCCATTCGGACACGTGGCAGTTTCAGAACACTCGTCGATATCTGATGATAAAAAACAGATATGCAGCCTTATGCATCATCAATTAATGCATCAATCAATCAATAGACCTATCAGTAAATCAATCAATAAATCAATCAAAGAATCAATCAATCAAACGTTAATCAATCAATCAATCGTTAATCAATCAATCAATCGTTAATCAATCAATCGTTAATCAATCAATCAATCGTTAATCAATCAATCAATAAATAGACCTATCAGTAAATCAATCGTCAATCAATCCAAGAATCGATAAATCAATCAATAAATCAATCAAAGACTCAATCAATCAAACGTTAATCAATCAATCAATCGTTAATCAATCAATAGACCTATCAGTAAATCAATCGTCAATCAATCAAAGAATCAATCAATCAATCCATCAATCAATCGATAAACCAATCAATAATCAACCAATTAATCAATCAATAGGCCTATCAGTCAATCAATCAAACGTCAATCAATCAATTGTAATCAATCAATCGTTAATCAACCAATCAATCGCTCAATAGACCTATCAATCAATCAATCAATAGACCAACCAGTTTAACAATCATTATACCAATCAATCATTCAAGCAATCTAACAATTACCAGTGCAATTGCTTCCGTGTGAAGTCAACTGGAATCCTTTATCACAAATGCAACGGAACATTCCAGGCAGATTTTCACAACGACCATGATAACACAGACCGGTGAACGCCTTACACTCGTCAATGTCTAAAACAAAATACAACGTGTGAACAAAAAAGGTGAAAAAAATCAAAACTAAGACAAACAAGAAAACGAAAAAAAAAAACACAAAAAGAGCTATATAAGATTTTACATCTTTACAAATTTAAGCCATTGCTTACCCATACCCCTTTCAATATTGGTAGTCATCAATGTAAGAGACACGGGTCAGCACCTGATAATAAGGGCCCCTGAATCGGGCAACAATGAATCGAGGGGAAGGGGAGGTTAAAAGATGGGAGAAGAAATCGCTTTAAGTACACAGTTTTCGTTCATTCAAGACAACAGTTTGGTTCCCGACAATTTGTATTCCTGATTTGTGATCTCAGATGACCGCAACAATTTATTTTCCATTCAAGAAATTCCAAGGAATTACCTCCACAACTCTTCTTGTCTGGTGTTGGAATGTATCCTATCTCACAGTCGCACATGTATGAACCGGCTTTATTCACGCACTGTCCATGTTGACATAGCTCTGGCTGCAGCAAACACTCGTTGATATCTGTAGATAGAAGTGTCGAGAAGGATTTAATACATTGTTGGAGCTAAAGACAACTCAATTCATCACCCACTGACTCATCAATCAATCAATCACTCCACTCAAAAGCAATCGCACTTTTTCGTCTTCCGACAAACCAATGAAGTAGTTTGTCAATCTACCAATCAATCTATCAATCAATCAATCAATCAATCAACCAATTAATTAATCAATCAATCAAAGTTCAATCAATCAATCAGTCAGACAATTAATCAATCACTTCATCATCTTATCAATCAATCAATCAATCGAAACTTCAATTCTTCCCAAGATAAATTAGAATAAGATGTACAAAGAAATAAGAAAATGAAGCAGCTAACATTTATTAAACCACAACAAACACACAAAGTAAGAATAAGATATAATGAAGAAAAGCAAACTTAAAAAGTTTTATCTGTTTTTCAATTCATTATTGTGTACAGTACCTTTACAAGTAATACCATCCCCTGTGTACCCAGGTGCGCAGACACATTGATATGACCCTGGTGTGTTTACACATGTTGCTAAAGGTGTACATCGATTACTTCCGTCGCTACACTCATCAACATCTAAAAATAAAAAACGCCTATTATGTTAACACAGATTAATGTAATGATTGGAAGAATCGATAGAATAAATAGAAGAAAAATCAATAGCCGATGGAACACCAGGCGAGCAGTGAGAGAAGAACTTTGCTTTGTCGCCTTCTCCGAAGCATTCTCTTATAATATCTCTGCACGCTTTACATTTCTTTAAAGATGTACACGCGTATTCTGTTTTTTCACTAAACAGTTATAGCGTGTCCATATTCTGTGACATTGTGGTCTTAAAATCGTAGTTAAGTTTACAATTTTTATACAATACCTATGCATTGATCTCCGACCGAACTATATCCAGGTTTGCAATCACATCGGAACGAGCCAATAGTATTGATGCAATATGCATTGTCACTGCATTGATCCTTGTTGACGCTGCATTCGTCGATATCTGAAATATGAAAGAAAATATGACAAATTAATAAATGGTTGAAAGAAGGAATGACAGAACGAGCAGACTAACGAACAAACGAACAAACGAATGAGCACACAAAATATCGAGCAGACTAACAAACGAATGAACTAGCACACCAAAGTGATAAGCACATCTAACTGACGAGCGAACAAGCACACCAAATAACAAGCGAACACACCAAATAACAAGCAGATCTAACGAACAAACGTACGAGCGCACCAAAGAACGAAAAGTCTAACGAACGAAAGAGCGGTATAACGAATGGACGAACATAATAACGAAACAATACATTGATGACCAAACGACAAAATGAATAGATCAGTAAAAAAGAATGGATGTATGGATTAATGAGTAAAATGAATAAATGAATGGGCGTTTCTGAGAAAGACTTACCAATACATGCCGTAGTTCCTGCAGCTATCGTGTAGCCTTTGCCGCACAAGCACTCAAACGAACCTGGTGTGTTACGACATATGCCGTTCGTACAAAGCCTCGGATCTTCTTGACACTCGTCAACATCTACAATAACATGACAATCGTTAAGCTAAAGCCTTTTTAAAACATTGAGTGCTATCAATATAATACATTTTGCATGGTTGCACATTGTCATATTCCTTAAATTTACTAATCTTTAAGAGAACATTTTGGTCTCGATTTTAGCAATCGTTCCATAGCACTTTACACAAGAAAAATATATGGTATCATATCAGATGTTCATATATCGACGGGAACATACCTATGCAGGATCTTCGATCTGCACTATCAGTATATCCAGGATTACAAGTGCAGAAATATCCACCTTCAGTATTCGTACATTTGTTGTTTCTTCCACAGATATCTGGCCTTGCAGTGCACTCGTTCAGATCTGTATTAGAGGCAAGAATTACCTTAGTGAAAAATTGAATGGATAATCGGATGCTTCATTGAGGAAACGTTGTCAATGGACTCAGCTCAAAAAGGTAAAGTTATCGGGGAATAATGGGATTTGGGGACTCAGAAATAGGTTTCATATTCGCCATAACAAGAAGATTATCTTTTTTATTATATTGTTATCATTTTTTTAATGGAGGAGGCAACTAGGGAACTGAAAATTTTCTGAACGCGTCACGGCTTTTCAAAAAGGACAAATTAAAAAGAAATGTGGCATAATGTACCCGGATCTTTCTCAGTTTTCTTTGGGAAAGTAAGAAGGATCCGCGTACGAGAACTAGGAAGCTCTAAGATGAGTGAAAATGAGCATGGGAAATAAAATAAGAGATCTATTCAATCAAAATATACAGTTAAATAGTTGCATGTACTTTGGATTTGCACCTATTTCCAATTATCTTATACTATTTTTTCCTCATTGTAATATCAAAAAAAAAAAACAACCATAAATACAACTTTGTCAATACCAAAATACTTTGTATTTGGACGGATCCTATGTGAACAGCTTTAAAAGAAGCCACATGGTTCTCTGATTTTTTTTTTCAATTAGATGCATAACCGTTTCTCAATCGATCAAATGGTGACTTTTCAATCTCAATAGCTTTTGACATCACCGAAATAATAAATAAAAAGCAATTTCAGCCATTTTTAATTGCTTTAATAAAATGAAAAACAACGCATATGGACGTGTTTTCTTTTGGTATGATCAGTGTTTATTTTTTTCATTATAATTTCATATCGAGATCGCGGTTCTGGAGGCATGAAATGGAGACATCTGCCCATAAGCGAGTTATGTTGTGGGATTCAAACCCATACTGTATGGGGAATGGATTTCAATTTCATTTTAAATAAATATAGCAAATATAGTTTCAGGGTTTGAAGTTTGAAATCAGGAGTTCATAAGGATCAACTAGCAGACACAAAAAAATGAAGCTGCAGAAACAAATTACATTTCAAATACAAAAATCAATATTGTACTAGTTGATTTACCTAGGAAATATGTTTTGTGTTGTCAATCACATTTCAGGCTTAATTCATGAAACGAGATTGCCTCAAGGATATTAAATCTTTACCGAGGTCTTTGAGTATAATATACTGTTAATTAAAAAGAGTCAGTCCTAATTTCAAAAGCATCGCAAGAAGAGGTCACGAAATAGAGATCATGCACACGAACCACACTTTGAATGCTAGTTATTCTAGTTTTAGCGATGACAGTACGATTGCCTGGACTGTGGCTTTTGCTCTTCAATTCCTACTCAGCATTATTGGAAATTCGCTTATTCTATGGATTATCTACAAGGACAATAGGTTGAAAACAACCACTAACTATCTAGTGGCAAACATGGCTATCAGCGATCTTTTGGTATCTATTGTTGGCTTTCCACATCAGATAGTATCTTTAAACGTTGGGCGTGTATGGATAATCAGTAGTGGAGTAGGACGTGGAGTTTGTAAACTGTTTGCTTTCATTCAGTCTTTGTGTTACACAGTCTCTGTGAGTAGCTGTATTCTTATCGCACTCGATCGGTATAACGCTGTAGCAAAGCCATTCGACAAACCCTTCCAAAGTAATATGAAATTCATGGTTACAGGGATTTGGATCTCGGCAATTGGTCTATGCTCACCTCTCTTGTATTATAGAGATGTGTTTAAAGTTGGCGACCAATTGATTTGCAAAGTATTGGAAAATGAGAAGTCCTCTTATAAAGTTTATAGATATATCTTACTATTGCTGACCAGTATTTTGCCAGCCTTGTTAATCATAATCACGTACGTTTTAACTATCTACAAACTCTACCAACACAAGGCTCCTGGGCTGCCGAACTCACAAGTAAAAAGGAGGGAACAGCAAAACAAAAAAATTCTCAAAATGGCCGTGACAATTGTGGCGTTACTTTATCTTTGCCACGGTACTTGGTCGACTTTTGTGTTCCTTGTATTCGAAGAAAAGCACCTCATTGTTGGGCCCAAATTTTGGATTCTTCATGATGCTTTAGTGTTTGTAGTTTACACGAGTTTGGTGTGTAATTTCTTCATCTATCTCATCTTTAATGATATTTACCGTGAAAATGTCAAGACTATGATATACATGGGATGTTGTAAGCCCATGCAGGCAAGAGATCCACATGTAGAACCCACCGCTGTAGAACTAACAGAATTGAAAATCGGTGCAAAAATTTAACTGTGATTCACTTGTCTTGGAGTTTTCTCTAGACTGACTTCTTAAAGTACTATATTGGATAATAATCAATTTCTATCTCAAGTTATATTGCAAATGAATGTAAATAAAAAAAATGTTGTTTTGTAAATTGTAACGTTTTTCATCAATCTTGATAATGGCTCGACATATTAAAAAAAAACTTTTAGGATGAAGTAACATTTAAATCATTATGAAAAGGCCATTCTACAACCAACTATTTGATCTAATATTGAAATTATTTAAGAAAAAATAGATATACATTTTACAGAATAGAGAAGAATGGAATATAGAACAGAATGGGATAGAATAGATGTAATAAAACAAACAAAATCCAAATACCTGAGCAAGTTTTTCCATCAGGCTGCATAACGTAGCCTGCATTGCAGATGCACTCGAAGCTTCCTAGGGTATTGTTACACACTTCGGCGCAGCCGCCATTTTCCACGGCGCATTCATTAATATCTGAAAACATAACGATCAAAAAACATTTATATTACAGACACACCTATTGACTGTAAATTATCAATACTTTTGTTCTCAGTACAGAGGATGTTGCATGAGTGTGTCTTTCCATGCTGGAAAGATCTTCTTGGAGGAGTTTCAAAACGAGAATTTAAACGCAAAGCGTATCTCTGCCAGACTAAGGAGTTTTCTAGATCTAATCGAAACCTGCTTTTTGAATTCTCCCTTCTTCTAATTGCTGTATATCGTTTGGAAAATCATTTATTGTTTGTCCATTGTTAAGTCGACCAATCATGTGAGATTCTTTCCGATCCGTTCGTAATTATGTACGCCAAGAAATATTATATACAGCTATTTCAAAAACGTTGTCGGGGAGAACGGCGAACGGCGATTGTCGAAGGGAGATTGCACGACCGAAAGGGACTATRGTTACACTGTTTTGATAAACAAAATTTCACTTATTGGATTCACCTTACATAGAAATAGAGATTAAATGGAGCCAATGTTTACCATATACCGTCTTGCAGTACAAATCAGTTGTTATTTCCTTTCAACTAGCAAAACCCATGGCTACTTTCGGTCGAGCAATCGCCGTTCGAACATTGACATTCGCCATTTTATCCGACAACCTTTTTTGAAATAGCTATATATCACATGTGTTCGACTCACCAGTGCAGTCCTTCATGTCTGATGTTGCYTCAAAGCCAATGTTACAGATACACTGATAGCCACCATTGTAGTTCTCACATCGACCATGGATGCACACATTAGGATCTCTGCACTCATCCTTATCTTTGAAAACAATTGCGAAGCTTAACAATATAGAAACGATATAACACGCGCTATCATTGGTCAATATGACAATTATTAGGCACATACAGACATTGGTCAGTCTAGTAGCAACAGAAGGATTGTTACTATTGGTCGATATATTAGTAACAATCAAACGCTTGCTACCATTGGTTAGTATAACAACAATAGAAGCCGCGATATCATTGGTCAAGTACAATGCATGGTAACAATGCAGCTAAAAGAACGCGAACTATTATTGGTCGAACGCCGTTTTTTAGAATATCAATGAAGAAAACGTAAGGCTACTGACGCATAAGTACTGCTAATCGAATAAACGCAGGAACAGATTATCCACAACAACAAAAATCTAAACGGAACATCAGCAACGTAAAGGCTTCCGCATACGCATGAAGACGCACGTAAAATGCGTCCTTCATAAGCTCCATGCCACCAAGACATACGCATGAATGCGCACATAAAATGCGTAAAGGAAATTTACCTTCACAAGTGACACCGTCTTTCATAAGCTCTATACAATCAAGACATACGCACAAATATGCGCGTAAAATTGCGTAAGGAAAACTTACCTTCACAACTGACACCGTCTTTCATAAGCTCCATGCCATCAGGACATACGCACTTATAACTACCAATGGTGTTGACACATTTACCATCTGAGCAAGGATTCGCCTCGCATTCATCGATATCTGAAAATAAGTATAGAGATATCAGTGTAAAGAATGAACGGGCATGTGGACGGACACACAGATATCAGTTTGAAAAAATGAAAGAATGCTTGGAAAGGCAGACAGCGATGCAAGAAAGAGACGGTCGATGGATGGATAAACGTACAGCAAGCTACAATTTTCGGCAAAAATCAAGAGATAGCAGTGCACTAAGTTAACAACGCAGTTTACCGGAAAGTGAGTTAGTGACGGACTTAGTGAGTGACAGATCGTTCGCCTGAAACACCTACAATAGTGTTAGTCTCTATACCCCAATGTAGTTTGCGGACCACAAAAAGACATGCTTTCCTGGCAATACGTAAAGACATCAGCCTAACAACACTGAACCAAGGGAAGGGATCGCAAGTGACCCATTGCATGTAAGATTGTAGTCAGGTATAGAAATAGACGAAATGGTGAGAACTAGCGGTAGACTAGTGTGAGCTGCGTCGGAGTTTCTAAAGAAACAGTTGTGTAAAAAGATAAATTTAACACCGTAAAAAAGTAGGTGAAATAACTTACTGACGTTTCGGACGTTAATCCTTCGTCGGCGTAAAGACATCGGACGAGGGGTTCAGTAAGAAAAATATACGGACAGACAGACAAATAATATATGACGTACCTATACACACTTCCATCATCATGGGTGCGTTGCGGAATCCACGATAGCAGTCACATCTGAACGCACCGAGTGTGTTTGTACACGTACCATTACCACAGAGACCAGCAGAAATCTTGCACTCATCAATATCTGTAATAGAAAAAAGACCGTGGCTACACTCCCCTCTTGGCACAATGAGCTTTCATTAAGCATATATCCATACCTTCGCACATTCGACGGTCAGCGCTTAGTCCAAATCCTAGGTTGCATTCACAGAGGAAAGCTCCTTGTTTGTTAATGCAACGGCCATTACGACACAAGTCCTCGTTGATACTGCACTCGTTGATGTCTGAAACAAATAAATCATAGATATGATCATAAAACACTTTTTAAACTAGAGTTATGCTGTAGTAATTTATGTTATATGATACAAG